TCTAACGATGCTTTCTACGTAGGGAGCTCACTAGGTTTTTAGACACGGTCAGAAAGAGCGAACGCGCAGACACCCAGACAGACCGGTTTCAATAATATGTTGCATAAACATCGTGTATGTATCTGTTCATGTCATGTCTATACAGATAGAAAGATACGGTTTTATTGTTATTTTATTAGTTAATTTCTTTCTTTCTGTATTATTATTAATTAATTATTGACTTAATTAGGCTATTTTTGCATTGGCTACATAGGCATGATATTTCCCAAAAAGTATTTCTGCTTTTACTGTCCCCTGCTTGTTTGTTTCAGCGTCAAATCTGTGCAGATCTTCCAAATTTAGAGGTTTTCTAATTTTAGGGTTTAGTTTTCTGCAAATTTGAATATTCATCAAATTTGTTTAAAACAGAGCAATTTTGAACAACCACAATAAATGTTACTACTGTTTCTAGTACCTGTTCATTTCAATTCAGCCTGTACTCAGTTGTATGATTGTACAATAAAAATCAGTTCCTTCCATACAGAGAGAGATTTCATAAAATTCTTTATACTTGGTTTTAGTAGACATAAAGCCTTTTTATTACCTTCAAGCATGGTGATGATGACACCATTTAAGGTCAGTTGAAGGAACTGAGAAAACCTGTTGCCATTACAAAACAGATGGAGCTCACTGTTGCCAACTCTCGCGAGACAAATAAGCAACCGCAGCTTCAAAAACAAGCCCAAAACAAGCCTAATATTTTTTGATAATTTATTATCATCAATATTATTTATTATCAATTATTTATTACCAATAAATGAGCCCGCAACATATTAAACTGAAACTGCCCTTTTATCTGAAAAGCAAAAACATAAGTTATTTTACAAAAATCAGCAAACTGCAACAAAGCAGGAACAAAACTCATCTCCTATCACCTGTGAGCAGAATAGGATTGGACAGATGGAAAAGGAGAAAAACACAAGAGCTTCAAAGGGGAGCTGTAACATAGCCACATATTTTTAAATAAACCAAAAAAACCGCAACCCGCGTATTAAAAATACGTTCAAAAGAACATATTCACAATAATAAAATTATGCATTTCCTTGCAGCAGGAGTGGTGGGGAACGCATAGGCATACTCATAGCTTAAAAAGTCTGACTGGAGGAAACTGTTATAGGAGGACATGAACGCAAATAATATATTAATTGACTCAAAGTTGTTCACAAAAACAATGTAGAAATAACATAAATAAAATCAGAATGATTTCCTTGGAATGAGAGGCAGCAGAGGCTGGCTGGTTGAGCGTCCAACAAAGCGTCAGTAAGCAACCAGCCGTGATCACTTTCATTTGACTGCTTTAGTTGGGGGAAAAAACCTAAAAGGTCAAGAGTCATAAAAATATATTCATAATAAAATAGTGTATTTCCTTGCAGGGCGAGTGATAGGGTAGGCTCTACTCGCAGATCTACAGCGGCTGCCTGAAGCTGCCAGCCAGTTGAAGATTGAACCCCCACTCCAATTTAATTCAAATCTAAACTGATGCAAGGATTACAATATGCCCCCCCCCCAATTTCCTTGATCATTAATCCTTCATTGGTAGATTTTCTGATTACTTGTTACCATAAAAACAGTAACAATTCCGTTTTATAAAATACATTGTACATCAATAACAAGTCAACGACTGGTACATGCTCGTGAGAAATACCAGGTTTTTATTCATTTTTAATTAATCCAGATTTCAGATTTAACATCTGTTACAATTTCATAAAAGAGCAATATGTACATAAATTAACTTTTTTTTTGTTTGGCATTAAAAATTATGAATAATACAATTGTCAATCACTTTAGATATGAACAGGGAACAATAGATCATTAATTATGTATCACTGTTTAATAAAACATGTAATACAATAATGTGTTAATGTCAAAAATAGGCCACTTTAGATATGATCAGGAAACCAGTGGATCAGTGGACCTTACTATAGAGTAATAGCGTATATAGTTACAGATACCACCCATGATTTTTAAATACTGACACTATATCATCCAGTGTCAAGGGTAATGACTTCAGCTCTGTTGGTTTATTGAAAAATCAAGAACATTCTCATGGAAGATGATGAAATGAATGAGGTCAGGATAAACTTGAGACGTGGCGTGTAGTCTTGCACCATCCTTCATCACAAAAGCGGGGCTAGTGATGATATCTAAATATATTCCTGAAAATGTTACCATATTCTTTTGCTGATCGCATCGGTTTCCAGAGACATTCCAAGATGAACTATTACATTTATTGAGGCCACAACTCATCAAAACATTCCAGATTTGTAAATGCAGACACTCAACAGTAATAAAAGTGACTAAACAGCACGTGAGAGAAGCCCTTATATATGTGAGCAACATTGAGCTGCTTAATTCACACACTTTTATTTAAATGGGATTCACTGTAAGTGTCAAAACCAGAAATGCAAACTTGATCTCCTGTCTTAAAGTTCAGCTCTAAATTAGAGTGAGCTCAGCTTTAAAATATGTCCATTCTCCAGCCATTGCTTTTGCAGATAAACATGAGGCCAAGTGAATATAATAATTGCCAAATGTAACCTTAATCCATGAAACGTGAAACAAGTATTTGCTTATCCTTCACAGTCGCAATTATGCAAAGATACTCTTTTATTAGATATTTCCTTCACTAGCTTTTGCTTTGGATTTCAAAGGCAGAGAAATACGTCATTATCCCAGATACAAGGTCTTATGCAGTTCATATTAGCAGATTAATGATGCATGTGCGATCACTTCAGTACCTGACACCGATTCATTACCTTTTTTCCTTCATTGGTGTCTATATGACCACTAGTTAGGCAGAGATCCTGTGATTCCATTTCATTTCCTATTATATGGACAAGACTAAATATTTTAGGCCTCACGCCGAAAAGTTCCTTCTGAAATTCCACAGTAAGTATCCCACAGTACAACTATGTCCGTGAGAAACAGCCACACATGAGCACTGAGTGCAAACAGCAAAAAAAATAAAATAAAAATCTGGCAAGTTCAGAAATATTTTTCATGTGAAATACATAGTGTGATGACTCCCTCTTGTGGCTGCTGTGTTAAATTAAAACAGAACTACTGATCTACAATTGTGCTCACTCGTGGATTTCTCTCGGTTCACTGCTGCAATTCTGTGGTAGAGGTGTATCAGATTAGCTGGATTTCAACATGATTTCGAAGCAGCTAAAATATCCAAAAACCTGGAAGTCAGGTCAAAGTGTGCTATGTTATCCATCCAGACGCCCAGTTCAATTAATAAGCAGCCAGTGGTGCAAAAAACTTGAATCCCAGAGTAGATTCATGATACAACGTAGGAAAAAAAAAATAAAAAACAAAAAAAAACAAAAACCTAGGTTAGACCACTCACATGCATCTTCAAAAAAGTACAGCGACATGCATTCTGAAACTTCAAAATTACAAAAGAGAAAGAACAGGGTAATCAAGCAGTTTCATACAAAAGCGTGAGCATAACAACAGTGATTGCGTTCTGAGCAGGTGGCTGGTGGCCATGATCATCTTTGGACTGTGTGCTGCGGGTAAAGTGTGACTGCTGGTAGCATGAGTGTGTGCATCGGGCATATGTTTGTGTTCACAATAAATTTGTGAACACAGTGAGGATGGGGGGTTTGTGTGTAAAGACAAAATTCAAGAGGCTCGTCTTTCACAGCCCTGAGCTGGTAGAGACCCTGTGTGCAGGGGTCTGACATATACACCAAAAGGGGGTTGAATTCCCCTCCTGAATTGTAGCAAGAGTTCAAATGCACTAGATTGGTCATTTTAGTCCGGTTTAGTCCATGAGTGACTGGTTCCTTCAGTGGCAGGCTGGTGAGAACGGATCACATGAGGCAGCACTTGCTTTTGTGGTTGTGTGGGTCTTTGAAACGCAGTCTCTGTTTGGGGCGGTACTTTTCCAGGTACGTCAGCTGCTTGCTGTTGATGGCACCCCGGCGTTTCCTGTAGGGGGGAAAAAAACAAACAAATACCCATTGGTTATGTTAGTTTTTTTAAATCAATGATTTCAAAAAATAAAATAAAATAAATAAATAAATAATAATAATATGCACATACACAATTAAGATACATGTAAAACCTTAAGCCAATAATAATACATTTATAAGTTTTCTTTTTAATTAACAAAAATTATAATTAATGTTAAACACATATACACACACATGCTACACAGCTATATAAAAATATATTAATATACACTTTTTTTTAATCAATATATGAAAAATATATAGAACAGACGTGCATATATATATATATATATATATATATATAAAATATATATAATATTTTTTAGAAATATGCACACAAAATATTTGCATTTAAATTAATGGCTTAAGTTAAATGTTTGTTAAAAAAAAGGAAAAGTACTATATAGACATAAATATGTTAAATATTAAGAGCTACACACACACACACAAATACATACATTATACACACACACACACATACAATTATTAATATATATTTTAAACAATATATACACAAAACTGAATATATAAATAAATGTTTTTAGTAATATACACAAAATATTTGTTTTAATGGCTTAAATTAAATGAAAATATAGGCATGTTTGTTTATACGTTAATCATTCATTTAAGCAGCATTATAATTATTAATGTAAGCATTTTATTTTTTGCTGAATTGTTTTCTGTAATGCATTAGAGCTATTGTGTGCTATTGTTATATTTCATAGTGGCATCAGTGCAAACTGTATTCATTTCTTGACTGCATAATTTGCTCTAATTTGTTTGTGCTGTATAATTAGCTGTAATGCATTAATGCTGCACAATCTGTCATGTATCAGTGCTGCATCATTTACTGTGCTTGTACTGAATCGCTCACTGTATTGACTGGGTGTTGTATCGCTCTGCTGCAAGGTGTTGGTAATGTATTGTTAGCTGTAATGTATACTTACTGTCTGATCAACTGAATGGCGTCCTCATATTTCATTCCGCTCTCTATAAGTGCCAGAGCCACCAGCACTGGAGCCCTGCAACATATACATACATGCACAGTGTTTAATGCCAGGAAACAATATGTTTTCCAGGAAAAGTGACCCATTCAGCCCTTCTCAGCAAGGATAGGATACCACCTAATGCATCAGAGAACAGGTCTGCAGTTACAGTATCTTAAATTTTTCTGAGTGGCAAGATTCATTATTCTACAACTTACATTACAGTCTATTCATCAAAAAAAGCTACTGTATGGCTTCAAGACTTGATATAGACCCTGGCAGCCCAAATACCAATTCATTTTCAAAAAAAGAAGAGTTGGGGAAAAAAACAATATTCTTCAACATTTCTCTTTTTATGTTCCATGAAAAAGTCACACAGGTTTAGAATGACACGAGGGTGAGTAGATGACAATTTTTATATCTTAAAAAGATAGCCCACCCAAAAATGAAACCTCTATCATAATGTACTTAAGCTTATGTTGTTTCAAACCTTTATTCTTTTTTTGGTGGAACAAGAAAGAAGGTATTTTGAAGAATGTTGGTAACCAACCAGTTTTGATTCCCCTTTGCCTTTTCACTGTATTTTTTGTCCATACAATGGTAGCCAATGGCAACCAAAACTTTTTGGTTACCAACATTCTTCAAAACATAATTTATATACACACACATACACATATATATACACACATACGTACACACACACACACACACATATATATATATATATATATATATATATACACACATACACACACATATATACACATACACACACACACACAAATACATACATTATACACACACACACACATACAATTATTAATATATATTTTAAACAATATATACACAAAACTGAATATATAAATAAATGTTTTTAGTAATATACACAAAATATTTGTTTTAATGGCTTAAATTAAATGAAAATATAGGCATGTTTGTTTATACGTTAATCATTCATTTAAGCAGCATTATAATTATTAATGTAAGCATTTTATTTTTTGCTGAATTGTTTTCTGTAATGCATTAGAGCTATTGTGTGCTATTGTTATATTTCATAGTGGCATCAGTGCAAACTGTATTCATTTCTTGACTGCATAATTTGCTCTAATTTGTTTGTGCTGTATAATTAGCTGTAATGCATTAATGCTGCACAATCTGTCATGTATCAGTGCTGCATCATTTACTGTGCTTGTACTGAATCGCTCACTGTATTGACTGGGTGTTGTATCGCTCTGCTGCAAGGTGTTGGTAATGTATTGTTAGCTGTAATGTATACTTACTGTCTGATCAACTGAATGGCGTCCTCATATTTCATTCCGCTCTCTATAAGTGCCAGAGCCACCAGCACTGGAGCCCTGCAACACACACACACACACACACACACACACACACACACACACAGTTTAATACCAGGAAACATCACCTCAAACAGCTTTTGTGTGTGCACAGAAACAATAGGTTTTCCAGGAAAAGTGACCCATTCAGCCCTTCTCAGTAAGGATACCACCTAATGCATGTGAGAACAGGTCTGCAGTTACAGTATATATATATATATTATTTTTTTTGAGTGGAAAGATGCATTACTCTACAGCTTACCTTATAGTCTGTTTATCACAAAAAGCTACTATATGACGTCAAGACTTAATATAGACCCTCATAGCCCAAATACCAATTCATATTCAAAAGGAAGTGTTGATAAAGCAACAGATTCTTCAATATTTTTCTTTTTGTGTGAACGAAAGTCACACAGGTTTAGAATGACATGAGGGTGAGTAGATGACAAAAGGATAATTCATCCAAATATCAAACTTTTGTCAAAGTATTCAAACCTCATGTTGTTCCACTTAAGAAAGAATACAGGTTTGGAACATTTAAGAAGGTATACTGAAAAATGTTGGTAACCAAACAATGTTGGTTCACCTTTTTTTTTTTTACTTAAACTGTATTTTTTGTCTATACAGTGGTAGCCAATGGGAAACAAAACTGTTTGGTTACCAACATTATAAAAAAATATATTTATACATATACATTTCATGTTCTGAAGAAGAAAGCAAGTCATACAGGTTTGGAAAGACATGAGGGCATGAGTAAATGACAATCAATTAGCAATGAATTTTAAGCTATCATTCTAATCATTTACAGAGCAGTCAGATCATGAATGTCATTTTATTTTTGGAAAAAGCACCAAAAATGTCATTACGTGCTAATCCCAGATGTACTAAAATACAATACATTTAGATTTTTACAGTGTGTCAGCCGCCGTCAAAGACCCTTTCTATTTTTACCATTTGCGCATCGGGGTCCTGACAGCTTTGAAATCTCCTGAGTGTACCCCTTTCTAATGCGTAACAACACAAACTCATCCTACTAAAGCAAACATTGGCTCCCTGTCAAAAACTGCTGAGGGCTCCCACAGGAGCTGCAACCTACGTCAGAGAGGCTTGGTGCATAACTTGTCGGCAGAAGCGGTCAGGGGTTAAAGTGGGAGGAGGGCAGGCAGGGTAAACCGGACTGTCATTAGCCTACCGTTCCCGCAGAACTGCCACATTTGACCGTCTGGCTCAACAATTCTAGCGCCGCAGCTTAATTAAGGTCTGTGTGTTTTGACAGCTGGCCAGATAAGAGGGCAACACCGTGACTACACCAGGATCCCTCACTGAAAAGAGATATGAAGGAGCAATTAAGAGAGCTGCTTATCATTCACTTCCCGTTTCGTCATCGGACGTCAACCTTTTGTGCTTCGAATAATAAACTTGGATTAATATTGTGTGTTCATTTGGATGGTTGGTTTTGGCACACAGCGGTCAGGCAGGGAGAATGGGTTTGACCTGCAGAGAGCACGGGCCAAGACTGAGAGGCCTGTCGCTGAGGGGTATTTGGGGTAAAGCAAAAAAATAAAAAATAAATGATGAGAAACCAAATGTAAACAGCAGAACTCAAACACTACACTAACACGAGCCAGCTAAAAGCTCTGCCAGAGATATTACACACACAGTCCTTGATTGCATTCTGCGGGAAAAAGAGCAACAGATCCTGGGAAAGGCTGTTGATATGTTTGAGAATTCTTGTAAGAGAGAAGCGAGTCACATAAAGCCTGACCCATCAAATTCAGATGAGCATTTGCACGTCTACAAATTCTGAACAGCCACAACAGCAGGCTGGGAAATTACTAGGACTATATGGAATCTGCGCCTGCAGTATACTGTAAAAAAGCTCAGCAGATGTTTATTTGAACCAATTCTATTTCAGTATTATTTCTGCACTATTAATATTTAGAACTAGATTTTTGAATATTTTCTGTTTGCATTTTCATTTAATAATTTTGTACATCTGTCATTTGATTTTTTTTAAATACTTCTATTTAGCTTCTGTTTATTTTCATTTTATCTCCAGTAATTTTAGTGCTTCAACTTAAACTTCAGTTTGCATTTTTCAAGTTGTCATGTAACATTTATACTTTTTTTTCCCCAGAGTAATTTAAATTATGGAAACAATTAAAATTAACAGTTCAATTTTAGTTAACAATAACAACACTGATTTGAATGCCCATTGTTACAATAGTCTATATATCTCTCAATCCTTGCAATTATAATTTAATAATTATACTAGTATAATTATACTTAGGCAGATACTAGGCAGATTTTTTTTACCCAATTTCCAATCAGAATCATCATTTACATTACAGTGTAAGCGACAAAAAGGTGATATTTTAGCAAAAATAGTCACTACCAAAATAGACTTGTTTTGAGTTGCCATATAATTCCACTGTTGTATATTAGTGCAAAAAAAAAAAAAATTCAGTGTGGGCACTGCACTGGTTTGGCACACTGGTTTAATAAAGTTGTGTTCAACTTTTAACATATCATACAGACGGCTTTAGCTTTGGAGTTAGCGGCACGTCTGGAACAACAGGATGACTTGACACTCACCGGCCCAGTCCGGCCACACAATGCACAGCCACACAGCAGCCTGGATCCTCACAGAACTTATTCTTCAGCAGACTGAGCCAGTCATCCACGATCTTGGTTGGAGGAGGTGCGCCGTCATCGAAAGGCCAATCCTGAGGGAGAGAAACAGGAGGATGAGTTCACATCTATTATCGCTACAGATTACAATGTGTCTGTACATTACTATATTTCAAATTGAAAGGGAAACACTCGTATAGAGAGACACAAAATACTAGCAGATAAGATAAAAGGCAAATTAAAGGGAAATAAATGACTCCAGTCACCACCAGCAGATGGTGCTCTATAAAGCTTCAGCGTTATGCATCATCTCAGATTCACAGCAGCCTTTGATGATTCCTGTGTGATTTTCACAAGCTCTGCAACAGCAAACATGGCACTCATCCTGTCAACTCTACCGGTTCAATCAGATCTGTCACGAACAGCTCGATTTAACACCATGTGCAAGAGCTGAATCATCTGAAATGTTGAATTATGTAACATGCAAACGGGCAATGATCACATCTTATTCAATAAGCTGTCTCAAAATCTTTAGGTACTTAAAAGGGATGGTTCACACAAAAATGAATACAATTATAACATTTTCATGTTCTTCTGTGTGACTTTCTTCTGTGGAACACAAAAGGTGATATTTTGAAGAATGTTTCTACTGTTTTTGACCTCACAATTAAGTCTGTGTGTTTAAAACAACACTGGTACTAACGGGGGGGGGGGGGGAACTTACAAGACAATCTTCAAAACACTTTGTGCTCCGCTAAGAAAAAAGTCAGAGGTCTGAAAGAACATGAGGGTGGGTAAGCATACATTTTAAATGGAAAACTTCTCGTGTTCTTTACAATTTTAGGACTTGATCTATGATTGGTCATCATACGCTCTACACCAGTGGTCGCCAACCCGTCGATCGCGATCACCGTCCCAGTAGATCCCCCCAAAAAACAATAAAATAAGTACAAAAATGCATTACATTTATGGGGTTATATTAATGTATCACTGAAGGGAACTGTCTACAGAAAAGTTTCGATGGCAATGGCATTTTCTTCTCCGTATAAAGCGCAGCTCTGCTTTGTTTACAGCGGTAAACAAGGGAAACGCTATATTGCAGTCGGTTCGGTTCATAAGCAGTGGTTCATTAGGCTACTTTAACACTGTTGCCGCGGGTTGTTGTTCATGTCCACGGGTTGAAGCGACCCCAATAACGTGATATTTAGCCCCTGGAATGTGAATTTTACTGGAAGATCCCCGCCGAAAAACATGTATTTTACCCCAGGAATGCGATTTTTACAGGGGAACCCCCCTCGAAACCTGATTGGACTAGTTTTATTGAAAACCTGGCAACCCTGTTCATAGGCGCCACCTGCTGTCAGAGAGAGAGTCTCATTCAGACCTGCTGTTTTTGTTTCGTGCAGATGTTTTATGTAGCAAATAAATAAATAACACCTAAAGTCGGACCATTCTGTTTTTGTTTTAAATCCTGAAATTAATCTAAATCAAATCAAAAACAACTGCCAGTGCAGATCATGATTAAAATGCAGTGGTTGCCTCTAATTTCAAATGGCTAGATATTTTAGTTTAAAGCCAGTTTGTTTGTTATAAAGCAAATAGCCAATAAATAAATTTGCTTAAAAATCAGTATCAGAATCCAGTTTGCTAGTTAAAAAAAAAAGAAAAAAGAAAGAAAGAAAAAGGAAATCTGAATTCTGAATCAGCTATGATCGGCGCATCACTAATTAAAATACTAAGTAAAATGCCTCAAATTTGAAGTACAATCTGGGATGTCT